TTCTTCTTCTTCTTCTTCTTCTTCTTCTTCTCCTTCTCCTTCTCCTTCTCCTTCTCCTTCTCCTTCTCCTTCTTCCTCTTCTTCTCCTTCTACTAAGAAATCTCTAATGACCTGTAGTTGTCGGCAAACTCCTTGTTCTCATTGTACCACTGGGTGGTGCGATAGGTAACGTAGGTTCTGTTAGTGCGGGGGTTGGTCACCCACAGAGACTCGCCGCTGGCAAAGACAGGACCGATGAGGGCAAAGGTCAGCACGTAGGTCAGGACTAAAGCGATGGCTATGCGGGAGTTGGTCACTAAGTCTCGCACCTGAAGAGCAGATAGGTGTTGTTTTTTTTGTGTTTTTTTTTGGGTTTTTTTTGGGGGGGGGGGGGGGTTTTTCCCCCCCCCCCCCCCTTGATGTCGTTATATTTTGGAAATAAGTAAATAAATATTTTTAAAAAATATATATTAGATAGACAAACATGTATGCATCGAGCACATCTCAGCTAAACAGCAAGCTCTATGAACGTTGACATAATCTATTTGGAGTTGAAAACCCACAGGTAAATTACAATAATTAGATGACATAATGTGTATATCGCATGACCCACTAAACAGCAAGCTCTATCCAACACCGACATTTGAAAAGCCAGTAAATTGCTCTACTGCTACTTCTCGGCTCCTTTTTACTGCTGTCTTTTAGCCACACTCATGATCTTCTGGTAGGAAAGATCTACACCTAGCCTTCTCGGACAAGGGCGAAAAATCTCGGACCTCCCGTGTGCAAGTTGCGCACGTTAAAGATCACTTGGTGGCCCAAAATCGATAAGAGTAGGGTTCGGCCGCCACCCTGACAAAATAAAAAAATTCCTACCAATTGAAACTATTTTTATTGTGTTCCGCGCGCTCATATGACCTTATGCAGTTGCGAGCGCCGTAAAACACTTGCCAAAAATACCAACAAAAAAACCAACAACCCCCCCCCCCTCGCAAAAAAATAAACAGAATTTGTATTCTGCATAATAATATACCAGCTCAACTATATAGTAAACTACTCTATGAGCTTTATAATCTATTATCATTTACTGCAGCAGACCCTAGAACACTTAGAAACATTCTCGACTTCCCAGGAAGCATACAAGTACAAGGATCGTCAATAAATAGTAAACTCTGATAATCGTCAGTGTGGAATCAGCCTTCCTCCTAAATGATATAAGCCAGGGATCTCAGACTCTCGACCTGCTGTGCAAGTCCTATGTAAGAAAAAGCATAAGGTATATTATGTGTAGTAAAACCTTACTTTTTACAGAAACCTTTGTCCACAATAAATTGTCTCACCATAGATTACTTGGCATCTTTCTCAGCAATTAGAAGGTTAAAGAAGCACAAGCTATGAAGAGCCGTTAATATTCTGAATGGATGATAATAACGATTGGGAGAATTATGTCATATGCTATGCTTCTCTTTCAATTTTTGAAGATTTTTTTTAGGTTAAACCTGATGTGGCCCAGGCTCAACCAAGCCCTACTTCCAGCGGCCCAGGAGGAATGTGATTGTGAGACCCCCTGATCTAAATGTTGTTAACACTTTGCTGTTACACAACCAGCAGTACAAAATACCCAATCTGGTCACCCAGCCAGGAGAGTGACTGCAACGACTTCTCGGGCCTGGCGCAGGTGACCGGAACGAATAATTTTCACCGTCGTATTATTGCGCCAAGTGACCGGTCGCAGTAGAGAATTGACAGCGCAACACAACACGGCACAACACAACATAACACAACACTATATGACACGACAAAATACGATACAACACAACACAACACAACACAACACGACATGACACGACAAAACACGACACAACACAACAGACACAATGACACAACACAACACTAGTCGATTCACCTTGAGGGGCAGGACAACAGCGAGACACCTCTCTGTGGAGATGATGGCGGTGATGACGCCTGTGATACGGGAGAAGCAGATGTTCACTACGATCATCTGGCCATACATCAGCGTCGTGTAGTTTCGCGCCCAAACCGGGTCGAATTTACTGATGATACATGAGGTCTGCCTGTGTAGGGGACATAAGACATTCACTCTTTAAGCACGTAGTGAACAGATACCTCCGATCAGCCGCAGAGCGAAGACCATGTTTCGGCACATTTTCTAAACATAATGCAGAAACCAAAAATGGTCGCTTTTCAGGACAAGCGGGCTAATCAAGATTTCGGGGGTTTCCAGAAACCTTGACCTACACCAAAAGTGGAGATTGCCCTACCTATAGGAGAAGTTTGGTTTCTTTGGTGTTTAGATTTGTTTGGTTATAGAGAAAGCTCTCCTTGTCTTTTAAAGACACCGAACAAGGGTCCAAAAACTTTACCTTCGATTTTCTCTAAACAGCATTTTTCGGGATAGCCCCCTCGTGCTTAAAAGTGACCAAATACATGTACAGGTTTGCATAATAAATATTTCTTAGGGTGCATGTTGTTGCATGCCTTTTAACATTTCAGATAGGAAGAGGCCAGTCGGACTTAATGACGGCAAGACGGCTTAGTTAGCTTATTAATGATGGCTAGACTGATAAACAGCAAAAAATAGGCCTACTGAATTGTGAATAAATGTTTAGTTAGCAAAACCTAGAGTATTTGTATTTGAGACGAAACCAAAAGGAGCCTTACTGACAGTGCATTCGTTCTAAACCTGAATAATTACTATTGAGGGCTGTGTACACAACAGGTGTTGGTCAATAGGGTCTAATGTAAGTACGTCTGGACTTATAGGCTAGCCGTCTCTAGGCTAGCCGTCCTTAATAATGATGACTGAATTGTAAAGAAAATGTTAGTTTGCAATACCTAAAGTATTTGTATTTTAAACGAAACCAAATGGTGCCTTACGACATGCATGTATTTATAAATCTGAATAATTACTAGATCTTATGAGACCTGTGTACTCAACAGGTTACGGACAACAAGGTCTAATTAACCTAAGTACGGCTAGACTGGCAGGTTAGCTGTGCCCACTTCGCTTCAGAAAAAAAAAACATCAAGGAAAAAGTCTGTTTGAATAAAGAAGTTATGTCTCAAAACAGCACGCCTTCTTATTTTGTCCTGTGACCAGAATGTATGTTATCAATTAGTTAACTCTATTGAAAGAAACAAAGATCTTACCACAGTGTGCTGCAGTGCGTGAACTAAAATACTAACCCATAATAAAGCGTGTACTTCCGATTCCAAGTATTTTACCGGATTTAGAGCATCTACAATGCAATTTACATCTCTTGATGTCATAAATCTTTCATGTGTTGGTCCTAAAATATCAACAATCTAAAAATATATTTAAATGATTCCTATAATGTAGAGACCCATTTGTTTAAGAGAAGAACAGACACGGTGATTGTCTGTATGTGTATGCATAATATGTGTGTATGTTTGTGTGTTTGTGTATGGGTACGTGAACGCGTGTTTCTATAGTGTGAGTTTGTATGTCTGTTTCCGTGTGTGTGTGTGTGTTTGTTAGTGTGTATTTGTAAGTATGTGAGTGTGTGTGTGTGTGTGCCAGGGTGTTTACCTGGCGAATGTTGTGAGTATGTATCCTGTATCGGAAACGGCCAGTGCAGCCAGCGACATGTTGGTGGTGTCCCTCTTCTTCTCCGCCCACAGAACCACCAGGCTCATCACGTTCCCCAGGGTTCCCAACACCACCAGCACTGGGGAGATATATAGGCTACATGAAGACATTACTGTTGTTGTTGGTGTTACTGTTGTTGTTGCTTTTGTTGATGATGGTGCTAAACACCACCAGCACTGAGGAGATATATGCAGACATAACATTATGCATGAAAACGTTATTGAAGATGCTGCTGCTGCTGCTGCTGCTGTTGTTGTTGTTGTTGTTGTTGTTGTCGTTGGTGGTGGTGGTTGTGGTGGTGGTGGTGGCAGTGGCGGTAGTGGTGGGAAAGGTGATGTTGTTTTTCTAATTATTTTTGTTATTTTTGTTCTTGATGTTGAAAGTTTCTGTTGTTGCTGCTATTGTTGTTTTTGCTGTGGTGTTTATCGTCGTTATAGATGTTGTTGTTGATGATGATGTTGTTATTGTTATTGTTGTTGTTGCTATTTTTGTTGTTTTTGTTATTGATGTTGTTGTTATTGTTGTTTGTTGTTGTTGACATTTCTTACTTTTTTGGTTTAGCTGTTTTTTTGTTTGTTTGTTGTTGTTGTTGTTTTTTTGTTTTTTTTTTGGGGGGGGGGGGTGATTATTGATGTTTTGAATGTTTGCCTATATGTTTGTGTTAACCTAAATATCGGATGTACTTTCATGCACACATAATTATAAACAGTATCTTGGTCGTTCTGTTGGGACGTTGAATCAGAATCCCTCTCAGCCGGGGTTGGCCCTGGAAGATAGGATCAGAGCACTCTTTCTGGAGGATCTAGGTCTATATTGTTTCGATTGAGACAAAAAAGGAACACACACATTAACAAAAGTTAATTGCACAAATAAAAAAAAAATTCTTCCAAAATAGTCTTTATTGTCTCGATTTAAGCTTAAAACAGTTTAAAACCTCACCTGGCAGTATGTAACAGTACACTGCCTCTGTGACGTCACCAGCCACCTCCCTGGAGATGAGACCAGGAGGTCGGGAATATCGCCCCACGGCCACAGGGCTCTCTGGAAGTGGAAGACATGTAGTTCATATTGTACAAGACGGTCAACTCATTGTCAGTTCGACGCTTTGGACAGTGTCATATTAAAGAAGAAGAAGAAGAAGAACGACAATAACTGTCTCTCTCACACACACGCGCGCGCGCGCGCACACACACACACACACACACACACACACACACACACACACACACACACACACTCACACACACTAACACACGCACGCACACATAATGGGGAAGAAGGGAAATGGTTGTTAGTCTATGCGATTTTCTTGGACAAGTTGTTGTTATAGCAGGTTTGTAATGTGTTTTTTTAATGGTACAAACCAATAAGGGAGAATGACGGAGAGGGAGTGCCAAATGGGATAGGAAGATCCAACAACCTGTGTTGTCCTGCTCAAAGGATGTCCAACAAGATTATAACTGAGACAATAAATTATAGATAGACTCTTAAATAAATCCTGGGGAGAAAGGAGTAGGGGAGCAGCC